AAAACATTATTACAGCGAGAGAAAGTAGAGAAATAGAAACAAGATTCAAGAGTTGAGATCTAGAAACTTACTAGATTCGAGAGGAATAGACGTTGAAGCTTAAATCTGAGATATATTTTGAGTTATAGAAGGCTTTATCTGGGAAGGAAGAGGGAGAAAATAGAGGAGGATAAGTGATTTTGGTGAGAAATGAAAATTTTCAATATTGAATCCCTTAAATACCCTTTAAACTCGTGCATTCTCGCTTGAGCGAGCTCTTCCTCGCTTGAACCAAAAAATCAGATAATGATTTTTTTGATATTCTTGCCTAGGCGAGATGGAGGCGAGCTCTATCTCGCTTGGACGATAATAGGTCTAGAGAACTCTCTATTTTTCCGGTGACTCTTTGCCTAGACGAGACCCCTTTTCGCCTAGACAAGAGGACAATTGGGACAATTTTATCTTATCTCGCTTGAGCGAGAATGCTCCAGAATGTCCAATGCAGAAAATATCTGTCTTGCTTGAATGATAAGTCTTGCACCAAAATTCCTATTTTTCTCAAAAACAAAGGAATAAAAATGAGGATGTTACAGGATACATAGACCCAAATTATTTTTTATTTAAAATTATTCAAGAATGTATTTTGTAATACCAAATTTTGTTTATTGAAATCAAATTTGTCTAAGTATGCTCTTTTCTCTTTTTTGTTAGCTAGCTAACTTTTCCAATCTAAACTTGTAGCTACAACTCTACGAAGTTATCTACAAACATGATATTAATTAATAAAAAAGAACTTTTGAAACTATTTATAGATTTTAGATTTACTCTAGGAAAAACAAAGTTACAAACATTTTATCAATAAAATGGTTCAAATTTTAACTACACCAGCGTAGTCATCAATTTCCATTAAATGAAAATGGTAAGTTAAAAAATTCTGCGCATACCTTTATTTATACGATTTTTTGGTAGAAAGTTTACTGCTAATAGTTTTAGCTTTAATGCTCTTAAAATGGTTCAATTGAAGCATTGCATCTAACAATTTGTAAAGCTTGTTTTTGTATAATTTTGAATTTAAAATTTATTTTAAACTAAATCTAATTTTATAATTAGTTTTAAACTAATTTAAAAATAAAATAAAATAATTTAAAATCCAATTCATTTATTTAATTAGATTTAAAATGGTTTTGAATTTGTTTTATCTCAATCCAACTCTACTAATACTTTTTTTTTTCATGACTTTATTCAACAGTGTTAATAATCAGATAACCTACTTTAACATGTTATTCATGAAAAAAATATTTTTAATGTTGAGAAAGAAAATAAAAGTTAAATTTTAAACTAAAATGTGATATGAAAAAAAGTTTAACGTACTTAAAATTATTATAGACTAAGCTTAAACGAGTCATATTAAATAAATTTAAACTTATTCAAATATAAAATTTAAAGATATAAACAATCAATTGGAATAAATCATTTTTTCAATTATAGACAAAGAAATCTCATAGATATTTCTCAATTATTTATAACATTCAATAACTTTTAACTAGCTCATAGATCATATAGTTGAAACATATTGTTAAAAGATAATGTTTGACTTAAACTTTTTAGCCAAAAAAAAAGTGTTGCGGTAGTATTTTAAATAAGTTTTTAATGAGATTGTCTTATTTGCTTCTTTTAGATAACTCGAGAAGCTTAATTTTTTTTAAACTTGTACTTTGTTATTTTTTAAAAAATAAACAAACATTTCGTATGCAGAGTTTTTTTACCATAAAATAACAAAAAAATAAAAATAAAAATCTTGATATAGACTCTCTGTCATTTTTTTTACATAAATAGACATTTCTTTTTACTATTCAGAATTCGGTTCCTTGAAAATCGAATTCTGAGATAGCTTTTAGTTTTTTTTTAATAAATAAATATTATTATTTAAATTATATTTATATATTATTATTTTATTAAAATAAATATTTATAATATATTATTTTAATAAATATTTATAAATATTTTATTAGTTATATATATTAAAATAAATTTTATTATTTGAATTTTGTTTTTATTTTTATATTATTTAAAAAAAATAAAAATAATAATATTAATTTTAAATGTTTATTAAAATTTATTTGATATATTTAAGATAATAAATAATATTTTTAGAAAAAATAATAACTAAATTTTTAAAAATTAATTAAATAATAACTAAATTATTTTAGTTAATTTTTAAAAACTATTTAAAATATTTAAATAATAAGTATATTATTTTTTATAATAATGTTAATGTTTAAATAATTTCTACTTAAAGAATACTAAATATATTTTTCAAAATTAAAAAAATATATTAAATATTATTCTATTTATTTATTTAAATATGTAATTTTGACTTAATATTTTTAAATATTAGTATGATAAAATGATATTTTAAATAAAAATTTTATTTTAATTAAATTATTTGTTTAAAAATGTTATTATTTAATATTATAATTTTTAATATCCTAAACTCTAAAACTATACTATTATAATTTTGAATAAGTTTTATTTAAGAATAAAAAATTTATTTTTAAAAAGTAAATAAAATATTAAATTATAATTTAATTATTTATAGTTGAGACAAATATTTTGAAATTAACATTTTCATATTATTAAAGTAACATTGATGAAGACAAAGTACATTAATAAAGATGATAACAAATTTATAACAACATTAATAATTAACTATTTCCGTAATGGTGACCAGCAGTACCACGAAGGCGACGTCTGTGACGCGGTGGGTTTCGTCGTTGTGGTTGTTGCTCTGGGATTTCAGGATAAACTTGTGGAGGATTTAGATCATCATGAAGGTTTAGTTGTTGGAATGCATTTGATGAATTACTAGGTTCATTAGCAAAATTCGGTTGGTAAAGAGACTGCATATAAGTTTGTGCCGAAGATGGAGTTGTAAAATCAACTCCAAATAAGTTTGTAAAAAAATCCTCTGATGTTGTTGCAAACGAATGTCTTGTGTTAATTATGTTTGCTTCTGGCGTAATGTTCAGAAGAATTGATGCAGTCTTGTGGTACGACGGTGTGGAAGTCGTACCTATTTCAAATGTGTTGGTAGTCCTTTGTTGTTGGTCGCTCGTCCTTGGATCTTGTAGTAGTTGTGGCACAAATAGAAAATAGATAGAATTAGCAATATACCATTCCATGTATTCTTGTGTGTGACACAATGGGCCTTGAATTGGATGACCTGTTATTGTTAGCTCACGTCTGTTATTCCATATTTCGATCCATTGAGCATGTCTTGTAACCCAATTTTCATTCTGTCTTCCTCTCATGTCAATTTTGTGGAGGTCATTCAAATTATTCGGTGGAGAAGGGACTTTTAGGATTAGACGAAACTGTAATTTAACTCTATCTGTTTAGTGCCATTCAACAATTGCAAAACAAAGGATGACGGTACATGAAGTCCACAGTTGAACATCTCTATATGCTTCCATAGGTATTGATGTCTGCAAGTCTTGATATGGCGCCTATAAAAACTACAAATATATTTAAGTTTGTTACTTAAAATGATGTGTAAAAGATAAGAAAATAAATATGACGAGTTACCTGATTAGCTTGCAATAAGTTCTTTATTGACAGAAGCAAGGAAGTAGATGCAATGATTAATGCTAGACATATGTACTCAGAAGTTGCAACTAAAGCAATTCAAGATGCACAGTCAAAGGAGAACACTCATAGAGTCATCACCTTTGGCAGAACAAGCACTAGATTTTTAGTCAAAGAAACGCAACATCCGACAAAAATTTGACCCGTAAAAAGATTTACAGTACGGTTAGATGAAATGTGGTGTGATTGTGGTAAATTTCAAAAAGTTCACATCCCATGCTCGCATATAATTACTTCATGCTTACACACACACTACAACTTTGACATCTACATATCTCCTGTGTATATCTTACAACAAGTTTCTAGGGTATACGAAGGTCAATTTGGAGAACTCAGACACGAAGACTATTGGCCAACTTACACGGGCCCAACTTTGTGTACAAATCCAGAACTGAAAAGAACTTCAAAGGGTTAACCCAAGTCCAGTAGAATAAGAACAAAGATGGACATTAGAGAACAACAAAGTCGGACAAAAAATTGTTCTTATTGTCATACCCCTGATCACACAAGGAAGACATGTCCAAATATCGGTGAAGCTTCTAGTTCCCGCCATTGATTTATATTATTGTTATTATTTTAAAATTTTCTTCATGTCATTTTTAATTTTATGAATGTCATTGCATCTTTTTAATTTTTAGTATTTGTAATTTATATTCAATATATAATTATATGTATATATATATATATATATATATATCTACATAATATTATTTAATTATATTTATTAATATTAATGACATATCAAATAAATAAATAAACTGGTTATTATTTAATACTTTATTTATTTTATAAATATATAATATTAAATAAAAAAAATATATTTTTAGAATATAATATTAATATAATTTTCAAAAAATAAATTTATATTAAATAATATAATAAAAAAAATATTATTATCTTAAATATATCAAATAAATTTTAATAAACATTTAAAATTAATATTATTATTATTTTTATTTATTTTTAAATAATATAAAAATAAAAATAAAATTTAAATAATAAAACATAGTTTATTATATATAACTAATAAAACATTTATAAATATTTATTAAAATAATATATTATAAATATTTATTTTAACAAAATAATAATATATAAATATAATTTAAATAATAATATTTATTTATTAAAAAAGAAAACTAAAAGCTATCTCAGAATTTGGTTTCCAGATAACCGAATTTTGAATAGCAAAAAAAAAAATAGGTCTATTCATGTAAATAAAATGGCAGAGGATTTATATCAGGATTTTTATTTATTTTTTGTTATTTTACAGTAAAACACTCTCGTATACACTATTTTTATATTAATTTACTTAAAGAAAATAATAATAATTTATTAAAATATTTAAAAGAAGGGGATCAAAGAGGGATAAAGGGAAGTGAAAGTTGAACCCTAAACGGCGGGGAAAATGAAGCATTGCTGGCGGGAAACAACAAAAAACGATCCCCATTTCCGAATCATTCATTCATTCTTCGCATAACCACTAATCAAATTCACTCTCTCTCTCTCTCTCTCTCTCTCTCTCTAGGGTTTCGCAGATGTTCTCGAGCTCCCAATTCGACGCCACCTCCGCCTTCTCCGGCGGCGGATTCATGGCCTCTCAGCCTTCCCATCTCAACGACTCATCACCCGCACCGCCAAAAGTATCCAATCTCTCTCTTTCCCTTCAAATTAATGGTTTTTTAGGATTAATTTTTGAAAGAGATTTATTTACTTTAAAAAATTAAGTTTGAAGAGATTCATTTCGTCAAATGTTATGGGTGAATCTCTCTTCGGAAGTAAACAGACGATAGGCACGTACTTTTGGTTAACTTATTTTAGATAAAATAATAGTCTGTTTTTCAAAAATAAGTTTAATCAAATATGTTGGTAATAACCAAACTAGGGAATTTTTTTTAAAAATTTTTTATTTCCTTTCAAGTCTTTCAACTAACTTGGTCTTGTGTTTCGGTTGTGTTGAAGAGCCGCGAAACTCAGGGTTTGGTGCCGGTGACAGTGAAGCAGATAAGTGAAGCCTATCAATCTGGTGATGAAAAATCGAATTTTGTAATCAACGGTGTAGATCTGAACAATGTAAGCTTCGTGCTCTAGTTTAACAAATTGTAATGCCATGCTTGTTTGTTTATAAAGCAAAATTAGAAATGCTTTGGTTTGGAATTTATAAAAAAAATAGTTAATGGAGAAATAATTGTTAATTTAAAAAAAAAAAACGATTATTTTATCTCTTTTAACTTTTATTTTTCTATTTTTGGTCCAGGTAACTTTGGTTGGAATGGTGTATGAGATAGCTGAGAGAAACACCGATGTTAGTTTTACTTTGGATGATGGAACGGGCCGAATCAAATGTCGAAGATGGTACTCAGCGGCTTCCAAATGTTATTTCAGATTAAACTGTATATTGAATTATGTATGCATGTGCTTTCTTACGTGCTTATTATTTATGACTTGTTGACTTCCTTTTGGTTGTTTGGTTAGGGTTAATGAGACTTTTGACACAAAGGAAATGGAAGAAGTAATGTAAGTTCTTAACTATGGAAGCTAATATATTAGTCTGTGGTTGTTATATTTCTCACTTTCTCAAATCATTCAATGACAGCAATGGTATGTATGTTCGTGTTTATGGGCATTTGAAGAGCTTTCAGGGTGTGAGGCAACTCGTTGCCTTCTCTGTCAGGCATGTGTGCAAAACCCTTTTTGTTATATTTTATCAATTGTGCAAGTGCAATGACTGTTTATTTACTTTTAGTTTTAGTACTTTAGCTTGCTGCGTTCTGAATCTTTAATTGGATACAATAATAAGCACAGTTATAAAGAAGAGATAACTATTTTGTTACATCATTCACCTAAGGGAGTTTGACATTGAAGTTTTAGAATGTGTCTGTAGATTTTGGAGTCTTGTTCTGATCAGAGCTCAGGGCTCAGGGTGACAAATATAAATAATCCCCAATTATTTTGACAAATATCTAATGTTAATAAGGGAGTTTGATGCTGAAGAACTGAGTAGATCTTAGGGTAATAGTGTCAGAACCAACTCAAATTGGACCAACAACTTACATCCCCTTACTGGCTAATGGAACAGATGTTGAAGCAGTTCAACCTGGGTCTTAGAACCGTTAAATTAAACATTATAAAAAGTCACACTGATTATTGATTCCATTAATAATTCAAATTTCAAAGCATTGCAATTTGCAATATAGTAGCTTTGGATGTTTTGAGTTGCTAATACTGGGTGTGGATTTACTAATTTATCTTGGAAGCTGTTGCTGATATGCATTAGGGTATTTTTCCTGGACTCCAATCTTCTCTTGGGTGTGCTTGGCAGTAGGCATTTTATTCTTGGATGTATCAGAGGGTCTTATTAGGTGTTAGTTTCTCCCATTTTATTTATCATTTACACATAAATTCTTCTATCAAAGCAAACCAGAAAAAAAGTTGAATGTATCGGGACGTTGGTGATCGCTGAGTGTCTCTTGGTTATGTTTCTGTTGCTTCTGGGTATTATTAAAATTATCTAGATTTTCAAAATTTTAGTTTCCTTTTTACTACCCTTAATCTATAGGCAGTGTGATTGAATTTTGACAGGGGCCTGTCAGACGTGTTGATTTTCTTGGCATTATTATGGATGTTTCATGTTTGCATTATTTAACATGATGTCAGGTTAAATGCTTTTTTAGCAAAATCTTTAGTTTTAGTTCGTAAGTTCACCTAACTTTGGGGCTAACTGAGCTAAACATTTATAACCTTTAGTAAAGTAGCTACATAATTCCTTGACGTTGCTTCTTTATCCTATTCTGTCCTTTTGTAATTATGTTATGCATGAAGTTTACAAAATCTTTGATGGTTAGCGATTGGGCATATTTAATTACATGACTGTTCTTTTGTCTGATAAATATGACCTAATTCAATTTCATTTTAAATTGAATGTTAATTATTTGAAATTCAATCATTGTTCTATTGTTGTTGACGGATGCCCTTGTGACCTTTGTGGAGGTAGCATAATGGTTTTGCTTGATGATTGGTGATTTATCAGATTGATGGATACGGTGTTTTCCTTGCTTTGAGAAAATGTTTTATATTTGATTTACCAAATTGGATGGTTTTATGATCCTTATTTCATAACTATGGTGTTTCACAGGCCAGTGACAAATTTTGATGAGATCCCTTTTCACTTTATTGATTGCATACATAACCATCTCCGCACCAAAGTAAAGGTACAACAAATTTTCATATTCCACCTGATTGATGGCTGTGGATAGTGCATAAACTTACTTTGAATTTCATAAATTGAGAATTGTGTGATCCATTTATAGGATCAATAAAAGTTTGTTGACTGCTGACATGTGCTCAGATATGTGACAGATTTGTTTTCATTATGTGCTCAGATATGTGACAGATTTGTTTTCATTATGTGCTCAGATACGTGACTTAGATTCGTTTTGATTATACATAGGTGGAGGGAATTTCTTCTGCACATCCTTCAGCTGACTCGTATAACACTCCTGTCAGAAATGCATCAAATGGATCTCAGGCAACATCATCAAATTCAGTAAGAGATTTGATTTGACAATTGCTACTTGCTACAGTTTAATTTGATTGGATTGATATGATACTATTTTCCTCGCCCCAGGTATATGCACAATATAGCGTGGATGGACTAAAGGATTGTGATAAATTGGTTATTGAGTACATACAACAGCATTCAGACATGTGAGTTATACATTCAAAATTTTAGTTGTAATTGTTATCCTTCATTTTAATGTTTTCGACAAATTTAGGATTATTTAAATTCTCTGCACACAAAATTGAGTTAAGATACTGAAATCTTTCAAAATTGGTTTTAAATTGCAGGTCAGATGAACGTGGAGTACATGTCAATGAACTAGCTCGAGAGCTCAAGCTTCCATTGGACAAGATCATGTCAGTTCTTATTTTAGTTGTCTTAATATGGGTATGCAAAGCAGTTGCCTCTGATGTAACTCAGCTGTTTCTGATGCCAGGTTATCGCTGAAGACTCTTGGAGATGATGGTTTAGTATACTCCACCATTGACGAAGACCATTATAAACAAGCTTGATATTTTGTGTGATCTGAGAAATATAGCTGAGGATCAAGCTGGATAGTACATGAATCCCTGATGATATTAGTACTGATCTATTTTGCTTATAAGTTTCAAGATGTAGATATGTTATCGGATGAATTTAATCTATTGTATGCTCAAACCAAAAGAATCGCTTTTTTTGCCTATAGATTTATAAACGCATGCTAAATGGTATTAGGTTGCTTCGAAAAAATATATATTTTCGTTTTTTTAATAAATTTCTTGGAAACATTTTAAAATTTTTATATTTTGGGAAACGTTTTTTTTTTTTTTTCAAGTGTCGTTGGTGGACTAATGATTTTATTTGATTTGGGGGAGGAAGGAGGGAGGGAAGGAAATAGATGGAAGGAGGGAAAGGATAAGCAAAGTATATTTTTTGTTGATTTCACTGTCAAAATAAAATTCTTCCAAATTTTGTCGAAGTGAAAGGGAGAGGGAAGGGGGAGCGGCGGTGTACTTACGGCTGGAGGATGGTTATTTGAAAAAATATTTATATAAAAATATTAAGAAATTAAAATTATTTTTATTAAGAAAAATGTAATAAAAAACAAATTTTTAGATTAATTAATTTTTTTGATTATTTTTAATATAATTTAATTATTTTTATTTAAAATAAGTAAAAAAAAATTGTTTATTTCTTTTTTATTTTAGTTCAACTAAATAATAAATGTTATAAATTATTATATAAATGAATGTCTATTTAATAACTTCTTATATTTTTTGTAAATTATAATTTTATAACTTTTTTTTAAATTTTATTTAAAGAGATGAGATTTTTTGGTTATAGATTTAAGTTTATAAAAGTATTATTTATATTGAGGTGAGGTGATATAAAATAAAATTGAGATTTTTTTTTCTTTTCTCTATTTTCTTATTTGTTTTTAATAATTTTACATTCTTTTCATAATAATAATTCTTTTATTTTGACTCTATTATTTACTTTTCCAATATTTGTATTCTTTATTTAATCCTTGATTCAAAAGGAGTCCAAAATTCCAAACCAGTAGCTAAGCAGAAAAAAAAAAGATCCCTTAATAAGTTGGTGTCAGCTTTGGAATTGTTCATAACTCAGTTTGCGAGTTTCCTTTGGAAAATTGACGCACAACTTGGTTGTAAATCCAGTGAGTGTTCCCTTGGAATTTAATGATTTTAACTTCCCTTGAAAGGATTATTTATCATGAAGCTTTCTGTCCAAAGTTGAATGGGCCCAACCCGGAAGTCTACTTTGAAGATGTTTTGGAGGTTGAAGGGAAAATAAAGTTGTACTATTCTAACAATCATCAAAGCCTGGAGAGTAGTTCTGTTCATCAACCAACCCAGTATTATAAATATTTTCATTTTGTTTTGTTTATTATTATTTTTCATACATACTGCTTGCATTTAGGATTGAATCAACTTATTAATTCATTAAACCTAATTAAATCAATTAAGTAGGTTTAATTTGACTTGTATGTTTGAATCTAAGTTGAACTAAGCTTATGAAATCAATCTTTAGTTGCGAACTGTATTTTATATTATCCAAATCAACTAACTTGAATTATCTTTGTATCTTTTATTATGCTCGCAATATGATGACATTTTAACTAAAATAAAATGTTATCATTTTTAAAATTAAGATCACATGCTTATTTATAAGAAGTAATTTTATTTGAACAAAAAATATTTGCAACATAATAAAAGTAGTTCTCTTAACAGTTATCGAAATAAATCAATTCAAACCCCTTTAAATTTTTTTATTACTTATATACACTACATGATGTCATTTTATTTAAGAAAATAATTATCCAAATTCAGCGTGTTGACCTAAGGATATTATCAAATAAGAGAAATTTTAATACACCATGTATAGACAAGGTAATATGAAAAATATGAATCCTGACCCTCTTCTATTATTGCAAAAATTGAACGTGCAATTTTATTTTTATTTATGCAAAAAGATATTTATTTAAGTGAAAATAGAAAAAATAACAAAAAAGTTTTTATGAAAAATTTACTTAACTAAATTTAATTCGCTTAAGCAAATTTTACATATTTCTCATGGGATGGAAGAGAGGGGGCTAAGTGTCGGGGGCAAAGGAGGCTGGGAAGAGGTATGGAGGTGGAGGTGAGGGTAAGGGGAGAGGAGGGTGGAGGAATTAGATATAGGGAGAGGTGTGTATGGAGATGGAAAGAGAAAGATAGGAGTTGGGTATAGGGTGAGGAAAAATAGAATTGGGGGAAAAAGAGAGGAATTGAGTTTAGGAGGATGAAAATTAGATATGGAAGTTATGGAGAGAGTATTAAGTATAGAGGAAAGGGAGAATACAAGTTTAAAAATAGAGTGCTTGAAAAAAAAAAGAGTCATGATAATTTTAGGTATTATATAAAATTTAATTTATAAAACTGAGAGTTTAATACAATGATAGGAATTATGTTTTATCACAGACAAGTAATTAATAGTCTTTATGGCTAATATATTTTAGCATAAATTATTAAATTTGTCTGAGTCATTATTTGTTTTAATATAAGAGTATAACCTTAAATCAAACATAAACTTCTAATTTATATATATATATATATATTGTCAGAATGTCTGTCGTGCCTTTCATTGAACCAATATGCAAAGATATATACAATCAGGAAACTAATTTTCCATATGATTTTCCTAGTATCATGCTAACACCATATATGCAATTGCCTAAGATAGCCTAATCAAATACATGACAGAGACAATCCAAACTATACAGAAATAGCAGAGCTAAATAGAGCAACATAATATACATCCCTGTATTACCCCCCTCAAGTTGGAGCATGCAAATTTTGGATGCCCAACTTGCTAAATAAGAATAAGAATTGTCTTGTCCCTAGGGCCTTGGTAAATATATCAGCAGTTTGAACATGGATAGGAACATATGAAGGTTGATTGGTGTGTCTGAGAACCTCATCTCGAATGAAATGGCAATCTACTTCAATGTGCTTCATTCGTTCATGGAAAATCGGATTTTGGGCTATATGAATAACGGCTTGACTATCACAATAAAGGGGTATTGGTTGAGTATGAACCATTCTAAGGTTGGACAATATGTCCTTCAACCATTTTAGTTCACATATAGTGTGAGCCATGGAGCGATATTCTGCTTCAGCCGAGGATCGCGAAACTGTGTGTTGCTTGTTAGTTATCCATGAAATTGGTGATCGACCAAGAAAGATAAACCAACCTGTGAGAGAGCGTCAATCAAGGGGACAACTCGCCTAGTCAGAATCACACCAAGCATATAGATTCAGGTCGCTGTCAGTGTGCAGGAGGATACCTTGACCGGGGTTCCCCTTCAAGTAATGGACCACACGTAAAGCAGCTAGCCAATGTTCCTTGCGAGGTTGCTGCATAAATTGTGACAGTGTATGGACACTGTAAGAGAGCTCAGGTCTAGTGAAGCACAAGTAGATGAGTCGTCCAACGAGGCATCAATAGGCAGCAGGATCAGAGAGCACAGGACCTGTTGCAGATGCCAACTGATGGTTTTCTGCAAGTGGAACTGATGTTGGTTTTGCCCCAAGCAGCCCCGCTTCAAGGATAATGTCCAAGGCGTATTTTCTCTAGCACAAGTAAATTCCTTTGGATGAACGAGCAACTTCCACACTTAGAAAATACTTCAATCTTCCCAAATCTTTCATATGGAAACATATGCTTAGATAAAGTTTGAATCGGTGAATATCTATAGAATCATTACCAGAGATAATGAGGTCATCCACATACACTAACACCACCATATGCACACTTGCATCTCAGAAGGTGAATAAGGAGTAGTCAGAGCAGGATTGATGAAACCCGTATTTCTTCAAGGCAACCGAGAGCTTGGCAAACCAACATCTGGGTGCTTGCCTCAAGCCATAGAGTGACTTGTGTAATTTGCATACCAGTTCTTGTTGTTCCATCTTGAAACTGGGAGGGGGCGTCATGTACACATATTAAAGATTACCATGTAAGAAAGCATTGTGGACGTCCATTTGATGAAGCTCCCAATTTTTCGTAGCAGCCACAGCCAACACAGTGCGGACTGTAACCATCTTTGCCACTGGAGCAAAGGTCTCAGTATAGTCTACTCCTTCAATTTGGTGGTTTCCCAAGATGACCAGTCGAGCTTTGAATCGTTCGATGGTCCCATCGGACAAGTACTTGATTTTGTATATCCATTTGCAACCAAGAGCTTTCTTTCCCGGAGGCAAGGTGGCCATGGTCCACGTACCATTAGTTTGAAGTGCCTGAATTTCACTAGCCATGGCTTCCCGCCATCTGACATCTCGAACAGCTTCAAAAAAATGGAGAGGTTCTTGTTCTGCATTAACTGCTGCAATGAACTGACGGTGGTGATACGAAAATCTATCACAATTGACATTGTGAGCTATAAGATAACACGTACCTGAAGTATGTGATGTAGCGGAGGAATGGGAAGAAGGACCTAACTTTCTCATAGTGTTTGTCACATAATCATGCAACCTACAGACGGTTGCCTGAGTCGATGTCCCTGTCCTACCTGTGGAGTAATATCGCTGCTGGTTTCTGTGTGCTCATGATCGCTGTATGGAGCAACATCAGAGCAACTCCGAGTTTCTGTTACAAGTTCAGAACCGTTTGGTTCATTATGTGCAGTAGCAACCCCCCCTTTGTCGCTACTACTGGAGTTGTCTTCAATAATATACTCCTCATTTATGCCAAGATTGGTAGTAGATAATTGGTTTGTTGGGGAGTTGGTGCAGGTTGTGTCAAACAAAAATTCTGTTTCAACGAATCTGACATCTCGTGAAACAAAAAACACCTTTTTGTCCAAGTCAAACAATTTCCATCCTTTTTGTCCATAAGGGTACCCAACAAACACACACTTACGACTCCTACTATCAAATTTATCTCCTTTGCTATTGCGATTGTGTGCGAAGCAAAGGGACCTAAACACCTTTAAGTGATCATAAGCAGGGGCTTTTCCATGAATTAATTTGTATGGAGTTTTTCCATTAAGAATCGAGGATGGAGTTAAATTTATTAAGTACCTAGCGGTTAGGACACGTTCACCCCAAAAACTCATTGGAAGCTTTCCTTGAAACCTCAAAGCTCTGGCTATATTTAAAATATGCCTATGTTTGCGTTCCACCCTTTCATTTTGCTGCAGTGTACCGGTGC